GCCCTCCACCCCGCTCACCGCCCGGCGCTGAGGCCAAGCCGTCCTCGGCTCCCCCTCTGGTGCAGCACGCCTGAGTGCGAGCTTTACCCAGGCAAGGGCGAGGGGAGCTTGAAGTGGCAATTTAGGCGTAAATAGCGACTCTTGCTGGGGTTACCCTTGCCTGGGAGTAGCTCGAGGCGTATGCCTTTTCCTGGGGGGGGAAGAGCACCTGATTGCTGAGAAAAGAAAGTCCGAAGTCACAGGTTGTTTAAGTACTTGTAAGATCCTTTGTAATGAGAGACTTGCACAAAGAAAGGAGTTTCCCAGCAAACAGGTGTGGCTTACTTGTTTTAAAGCTGGTAAAAGGTACAATAGGATTACACGTACAGTAGGGAAAAGTACAATGTAATAGTGTGTCCTAATAGAATAGGAGAAAATGAATTGCAGTTGTGCAGACTGAATTACAATTTGGAGCCTTTAGTGTCTGTCAGAATTGAGAATGGGATAACCACTTTATTCTCATGTTTAGCCTAAGGCAGTTTTCCTGCTTCATTCGTTAGCTGAAAAAACATAGCTGCTAATTGTTCAAATAGTTGGAGTCGTCCTTTCATGTTTACAAGCGTGGAGAGGGGGAGAGTTGTCTTCTACTTTCTTTGAAATATGGAAGTGTGGAAGGTAAATATGTGTTTGTGGGAATAAGGTGTTAGTTGTTTCTTTTTTAACTTGTTCAGAAAAGTGGCTTTTAAAAGGAATTTTATGTCTTATTATGTAATAAGATTACCAATTCTAATGAATAAGACCCGTGTGGGAAATGTATGCGGCTATGACAGCAATGAGTTTGGTATAAATAATGATACTGCAAAGTTTTCCTGTTTGTGTTTATATGAAGAAACGGAGGTTTTTCTCTGCAAGTGTTTGTTTACTGTTGATGTTGTAAATCTGGAATGTTTTTGCCTGAGAATTTAATTCTTGTCAATGTTGTCTAAATTGCTTTTCTGTGGTTACAGAGTTCAGTTTATTGGCAGCACCCTTAACAAATGTTTTTTGCAGAAGCTCGCTGTAATAGGTAAAATTTCATTAAAAACAGTGTTTCCTATATTGCTATACTTCCTGCTCTGTTTCCAGTGGTGAGCAGTACTGTGATTCACCTTTAAAAAAGACAAATGTCATTACAGCTCATGTTGCAGCTCTAAACTGAAGTCTATTTCCTTTGGAAGCAAAAGGAAGTTGTAAAAATGTTCTTCATATTCTAAATTTGTTTTGCAATTCAATATTAAAAATTCATCTGACCATTTTATTTCATTGTAGGTAATTTACGTGATTATCTAGCATGGACACTGTTGCTAGCCATAGTTGTCATCTTCTCCAGCAGCTGCATGAACAGCGTATTCAGGGTCTTCTGTGTGACTGCATGTTGGTGGTAAAAGGTGTCTGCTTTAAGGCACACAAAAATGTATTAGCTGCTTTCAGTCAATATTTCAGGTATGTAGTAGAAAAGTCTTCTACTAATTAACTGAATGCTATCAGTTGAGACGACAATAATTATTAGAGTTTAAGGGAAAAAATTTAATTGCTTTTCTAAAGATAAATCTGTATCTTATGTCTTGCCTAATTAAAAACTGAGATCATCCTAATTTATTTTCTGGTTATATCTAGTTAACTTCCGAATTGTTGGGCTTTGGAATTGTCTTTTTCCTTACTTGTCTACAGTGCTTTGTATAATGGATTCTGGCACGGGCCTGCGGCCAGTGTTTCAGTATAAAAACATAACAGTTTATAAGGAGCATAGTACTATGTGAACAGAGCCGGATGAGGGGTATAATAAATGAAGCAACTCACATTGTCCACTTCTGTTTGAAGACAGTGGACAGACAGTGTCCAGAAATAAAATTTGAATATAGGTATAAGTATTGGATCTCTATTTAGAGGCAATTCTCACAGCAGCTGTGTCTGTGTTTTAAAGTATACAGCTGGCCCGTGAAGCAGTGTCACTGATTTCTTTCCCTGTGCTATGGCCCCACAGTCGAGACGCAACTATTTTGGGATGCTGTGTTACCCAGGTGTTTACCTTAGTTGGGAGTAAGCTGGTAGATATTGACATTTTTTAGACCTTGCTTCTTGAAGCCAATTCTTGACTGCCAAGTCTAATGGAAGAAAAAGATTTTTGTATTGCTACCGGGGGAAAAAGGGAACAGGTCGATTTTATTTTTTTTCTCTACAAATTATAGTATTCTAATCCTGATGATGAAGTGGATTTATGCTTAAAGACCTTGAGCTGAATTTTCAAAATAGTAGAAGAGAATTAGGCACTCAACTAGTATTATGGGACTTAGGTGACTAATTTAGACTCTCAATCCAGGTATGCTTACTGTAGTGCTGGTTTTAATACAGATGGTATGGGCTGGAGTTTTGAAAGAATTTGAATATGCGTACTGGTTTCAGAGTGGCATGTAAAGATGAGGACAGGTCAAGTTAAGTCCAGGGATACATCTGAAACCCTGTATTTTAAAGCTTCAGCCTAGACTGCCATTTGCCTAAGATCTGAGCTCGCTGAAATTGTGTTCACCATTAAAGAAAACCTAATTGGAGAATTAGCCAAGGAGAGGAGTAATAAGGTTATGGGCGTATTGTGGTGTAGGAAAATAGCCACGTAGGAGTAACCTGACCCCATTTTTCTGTCATTTACTGTGGGAGTACCAGGTTAGAGACTGGGAGTTTTGAAGGAGTTTCTGACTAAGCTACGGTACCAAGCCACTTAGTCTAGAACTGGTTATGCATGTGAAGAAGTACAGCTCTAACACTAGCAATACTTTATGTCAAATAATAAGTTATCCGAATTGAGATACTTTAAGGATTCAGTGAAGTGGGGATTGATTGGACTGCTCTTTTAGGCTTATGTACCTATATTTTTCAGTATTCTTTTAGTGGTTCTTATTCAGTACCAATAGAATAATACTTTTTTGGATATGACAGAAAAGGTTGAAAATACTGCCATCCTCTTGTTCACTATTATCAGCCTGTTCCCTACTTGCAGGGGCAGAACTAATGGGCAATCTTGAATAAGGTTTACTGGTAATGCTTGATGGAAAAGCTCAGTTGCCAGAGAACACTTGAATTTTACTGACTTTGAGGTCTATCTTTCTCCTTTCTACTATCAAAAATTCTCATGTTCTCATTTGTTTGCCATGATGGAGGTGGAAACGCCATTCCAAGTCAGTCAGCTTTTGCAAATGGTCTGTAAATATACCATTGCATCCAATACTTAGAAAATTGAGCAGGAAACTGCAAATCTGGGGTGTGGTTTCACAACAGTAAAAAACAGACAATTAGCGTTTTAGAAAAGTTTTTTACTTTGGGCCGGTGTAATAGTATAGGGCTATTAGTATGAGGAGAATATCTGAGCAGTTTTGAGAAGTTCTGCTGCAACAACACAGCAGCTTAGAGAAGACCATATAGGGTATGGTCTTGTTGGTTCATACTGGCCAATCTGTGTGTGTTGTGTTTTTTGTTTTTTTTTTTTTTTTTTTTTTTTTTTTTTTTTTTTTAATACAAAAGTTTATCTGAGTTGTTAGTGTATGTGTTTGACTGTTATAAGGAACTCTGCCTTATTTCATCAGGACCCTTTTTCAGAATTCTTCAGGCCAGAAGAATGATATCTTTCACTTGGACATTAAAAACGTAGGTGGGATAGGCCAAATCTTGGACTTTATGTACACTTCTCACCTGGATCTTAGCCAGGACAACGTACAAGCTATGCTGGATATTGCCCAGTGTCTCCAAGTGCAAAATGTGCTGAACATCTGCCACAGCTTTCTAAAATCTTCTACAGCCATAGAACAGCCAGCCAGCATGCCTTGTAATAGTGTGTTCTCTCTACAAAGTGCTTTGACTACAGATTCCAGCTGTGCCAATGACAGTTATGGGACAAACCTGTTGCATGAATGCTCATCTGACACACAAGCTAATAAAGCCTTGGTTGACCAGCATTCTCATGGATCACAGTCTGTTAGTCTTCATGC